AGCACCATCTGTACCTGTCGGGAACATTCCCTTTCCGGTTGGTTCAACCACGGATAAACCAGGCTGTTAGGTGGAGAGACCGGAGATCCGGGTGAACCATTATTCCTCCGTCCCAAGGTTGGGTTAGTAGGTCCCGAACTGGAAGGAGTACTAAGGGAGCCCAGGCCAACATGTCCACCAGGATGGGGAACCAGAGCTGTCTGGGCCACCTGGGGGCTATGAGGGTGATCGAGGACCTGAAAGTTCTTGCTCTGGTCAACACCCTGGAGATTAGTGGAAATGGGGGAAAGGCGTAGAGGACGCCCTTTAGCCACGTGGTCGTTAGGGCGTCTCCCTTGGAAAATTTCCCCAGCCCCAGCAGGGAACGGTAGTTCCTGCATTTTGTATTGTGTGCCGAGGCAAACAGGTCCGGGTGGGGATAGCCCCACCTGTGGAAAACCTGGATGAGTACAGAATCCTTGAGCGACCATTCGTGGGCTCCAAAGGATCTGCTCAGTGTGGTTCTTGCATCCGGGAAGGTATTCCGCCTGGGGTGAGATGTTGTGCTTGACACATGAACGTGCCCCACCCTGCTTGTTGAGGTAGAAAACCGCTGCAGTGTTGTCCATACGTACCAGGATGGAGCGGTGGGAGAGCCTCGGCAGAAATGCTTCGCAGGCTTTCATCATTGCTCGTAGTTCCCGGACGTTGATGTGCAGGGACCGTTCGGACGGGGACCAGAGGCCCTGAGTTCTGTGGCCCCCGAGGTGTGCACCCCACCCTAGGTCAGATGCATCGGTGACCAGGGTCAGCGAAGGGGGGGGCATTGAAGGGAACTACGCTGTGCACCACAGATTCCTGGGTCCACCAGAGTAGGGAGTCCAGAATGTCCGGGGGCACTGTGATTATGGAGTCCCATAGGCCCTTGGACTGGCAGAAGGCCTTCGCCAGCCAAGCCTGCAGGGGTCTCATCCTCATCCTGGCATGTCGCACCATGTAAGTGCATGCTGCCATATGTCCCAGGAGCCTGGAGCAGACCCGGGGAGTCATGATGGGGGACTGGGTTAACTGTGAAATCAGCTCCCCTATTGCCCGGTGCTGGTGTATGGCCTCGCGCGTGGAGGCCGGTGCGCTGCGCACCGCAGGCTGGTCCAGTGGTGCCGGTTGAAGCGCCGTCTCCATAAGGAGAAGCTTCAAGCGGGAAACTCTGTCCTTTCTGGTACAAGGCTTGAAAGACTTGCAGATCTTGCAGGCTACTGCCAAATGGGCCTCACCCAGACACTTAAGGCAGCTGTTGTGTGGGTCACCCCTGGGCATAAACTTCCCGCAGTCAGCGCACGTTTTAAAGCCTTGCGGCCCTGGCATTCCTCACCCCCAAGGGGGCAAGGAACAAAACAAAAAACCTAACTATCTAACTACACAACTATTTACAAAGTGAGAAATGGGAACCATTAACCTATCTAAGCCTAACAGCTATAGAGAGAGACGCTCCAACGACCAACATGGCGGTAAGAAGGAACTGAGGTGGGGCAGCGCCGGTAGGGGTACTTATGCCCCGCCATGGCGGCGCCACTCCAGGGGGCGCCCTGCCGGCGCTATGGGTACCGCTAGGGAAAACGCTCCGGAAGACGTGGTGCATGCGGCGTGCACACCTACTTCGAATGGACATGAGCAACCACTTGAAGAAGAACTTGCATAATTTAAGAAAAAAACTAAACAAACCAATAGTAAGGTCACTCTGGGGACACTCACTTTACAGTTGAGTTTAATTAAGGAAAAGGAGAAGGGAAACTAGAAGTCATATGTAAGTCACATGTGCAGAGATATTTTTTTATTTAACCAAACATTTTAGGAATGCAGATGCTAATGGGAATTAATATATTTAGACCATTAGGTAACAGAAGTAGAAGTTGTATTTTATTATTAAATCTATTTCTTATTGACTAAGCAAGGCAATGTTTAATGCTCAGTTTGATGTTCTCTGTGTGTTGCAGCTGACCAATTCCAAAATTTCAGGAAGTGTCTCAGGCATCAGTGAGCCTTTTGATTTTGGTGAAAGAAGGAATGGGAAGGACACTTGTAGCTTCTGGGATCTGGTTAGCAGAGACCGTCACTTCAACTGCTTCTGTAGTTGTCAATGGATCAATGAACGATTTAATGGCAGCCATTAACATGTTCCAGCATAGTACTACCTCCATCTTAGCTCTGCCCGTTTTCCCAATGCAGTTTTTAAATGTTGGTACCCTGAAAGAAAAGAGAAATATGTGGGGATAGGATGCACAGAGAGCTCCTAAGATAGAAGAGAGTGAGACCTGGCATAGGAAAGAATGGGAATACTTGGGGTCCTTGGAATGGATGAAAGAACTTGATCAGAGGAGATGAGGCACTAGTTTGGGAGAACATAAACATGGGGAACATAAAGCCCCTCACATGTGGCAGAAGAATGAATGTGAGCCAAATGGTTGAGGGAATGAGCTCCTGGCATGGTGAGGGAATGAAGAATGGGGAGAGAGAGAGCCCCTGTGTTGTGATGGAGTGAATGAGAGGAGACAGAGCCCCTGACATGGGGAGGGGACAACTGGAGCACACAGATCCCTTGGTAGGAGGGAGGGAGGGAGAGCGAAGGCTGCATGGAGTCTGAAACAGAAGGGACAGGAGAGTGACACACAGGTCAGTTGTCTGTGGGGAGAATGGAGAGATGCGATGAGTTCCTGGTGTTTGCAATGGACTTCACCTATAGAATCAGCAAGAGATGCAACTTGCTAGCATGAAACTGCTTAGGAGATTTTGGAGGGAGGAATTAGTCATTGTTGATTGAATTTAAACAGAGAAGACATTGATAGTGTAGAGAATGAGTTTGAACATTAATTAGCTGGTCTGTTGCTGCTGTGCTAATGAAGGGCTAGGTCACCAACAGAGAACAGTTCTTTGGCAGTTTGAGGGGTAGGTCACAAAGACAGGCCCTGGGAGGAGCTTAATACTAAAAGTTTTGGGGGAGCAGATGTAAGAATCCACCAGATAGATAGAGCCTTAGTTATAATTGCCTACAGTGTTTGTGTGAGGTATAATACATCTTGTGGCATGCTACGAGGGATTATTTCACGAGGGACACAATGGTGTACCACTGTGCATCCAAGTTTACCATGGAAGCAAAATGTTCTTATTAAAAGGCACAAGGGGATGAAGAAACAAATACAATTTCTTGTGAGTCTAAAAGTGCAGGATGATAGACACTATGTTAATCCAGCAGACAAAAAACACCAACTTCTGAATCAGCCCCCCTGGAAGGCCATGGGAAAGTAGTACTATGGCATCAGTTCATACTGAACAACTGAAATAAAATCTCTTACATTTTTTCCCTTTGATGTTTAAATCTCGTTTTGAAGTCTGAATTGAAATCCTGCCAAGGCAGCCCTTTCCCACAATGCTCTGTTATCTCAGTCTCATGAAGACTTTCTCGAAAAATTACTCATTTTGGACAAACTCTGAATTTCTCTTACAGTGGTCTTTGTTTCTTGTTTTTTGAGAACTGGCTATTCATTCATTGTGAACATCGTCATTCAAACTAGGATGTATCAACTGGAAGGATTAAACTGAAAATAGACTTTTCCCCATAACCCAGGATTGCTTCATTGTTCCCAAATTCTGTTACTGTGTGGGCAAGGGAACCATCAAGTTTCTTGATTTTTGCTTTTCATTGCTTGAGGAAGGCTGATATATTTTGCACTCAGTTTACATCTTTTATTCTAGGACTTCAGTGCATTTTACAAAATGCCTGGCCTTTCCCTTCAGTGATCACCTTTTTAAAGAGTGAGAAATTTAGTCACGTTGATTAAATTATTTGGAAAAAACATACTGTGAGGAATTGTAGCATGTAATCCACTATGTATTTGAGAGAGTTTCCTGCCTACCTGTCCAAGAACTCCTCCTAAATGGTAAGAGCTAGGACATTCGGTATACAGCTTTCTCTTACCGTAACTTAAAGGAAGGTAAAGGTTTGGTTGTGCCAGGAAAATGGGATTGCTTCTCATAAAATCATACAGAAAAGAGAATCACCAGGTAGGTTAAAGGGACTGGCTAGGGGTGTGCCCCACTATCCTTATCCAGCACTGCCCCAGCTGCAAGCCTCTCACACTCCAGGCACCCATTAGGGAGCGCAGGAAAGGGGGGATTGATGTTTACTATGCATTGTTCAAAAATATCAGCATCTGTTTTAGGATCTGATTCAGTGGTGATAAGGGTACCTCAAGACAACTTGTATTTTGTTGCTCAATGGAATTTTTATAAGACTTGTGTTGTCTGTATAGTATTATTATCAATAATATATCATTGTCCTATTATATCTTACCTTTCTTTTGCAGTCCCAAAATATTCAGCTTAACAAGGAAATGACTCTTGCCAGCAACCGAAGTTTGGCTGAAAGTAATCTTTTATACCAACCAAAATTGGACTCTCTGAAAGCAAGTTTGACCCAAAAATATCAGGAGCTGCAGGTTCTTTTTGAAGCATATCAGATCAAGAAAACAAAACTAGGTAACATGTTTTTGTGGTTAAATATATTGTGAAAAAATATATCCTATTTTTCTCTATTAATCTAAAATATGGATAAATATACCTTCCTTTCTGATGCATATCCCTGATTCTTAGCTGTCTGCGTACGGATACTGAGTAAAAGAACAGAAGTGTCAAAACAGTAATGTATGGATTATAGATCATTCTATAGTAGTATTATTTGCATTACCATAGCACAGAGGAGCCCTAGTCATAGACGAAGACTTCATTGTGTTAAATGCCGTATAAGCACAGAACAGACATACTATCTTTGCCCTGACAAGTCTGTAATAGATCTGGAAAATGCCACTGTTCTCATAGACTATGACACTGTTCCACTTAGTAGAAAGAACTAAGTAGACAAGCATGTGTTATTGGAATACACATTCCTTTCTGTGCTTGAAAGAACATACATACCTAATTACTATTGATCTTTTGTCTGAATATGATCAAATTTCAGTTGATGTTAAAAAAAATTTTCTGAGACTCTCCAAACAATGAAAATTGAGAATGACTGAATATAATCTTGCATTTAATATATTGTTGTTTTATACTTCAAGTTATGAAACATTTTATTTCAATTACACATTTACCAACTTCAGTTAATTTAATTTTTTCATTTATAAGTTTACTGTAGTAATTTTCAAATTAAATTATCAGAAAACACATTCTTATAAAGAACTTAAGAATGGCCATACTGGATCAGACCAGAGGTCCATCTAGTGTTCTGATAGTGGCCAATGCCAGGTGCCCCAGGGGAATTATCAAAACAGGAAATCAAGTGATCCATCCCCTGTTGCCTATTCCCATTCTCTGACAAACAGGGTCTAACGCCGTGGTCACCAACCGGTTGATTGCGATCAACTGGTCGATAGCAAGGCCTTGACCAGTTGATCATGAGGCGTTCGGGCCCCCCCACCCCTATTTCTCCCCCACCCCCGAGAAGCCCCAGTACCTATCTCCAGCGTAGTGCTGGGTGGATGGAAGTCCTGCCTACAACTTTGCGCCACTTCCGGAGGTACCGGAAGTGTGCTGGCTGCTCCCCTCCCATAGCTCTGTGGCATGCTGGGTGCGCTGCGGGAGGGGGTGTCAGCCCCAGAGGAGGAGTGTGGTGACTTCCCTGCGCCACAGGAGGAGTGAGTCAAGTGCAGGGGTGGGCCCTGGGGAAG